AAGGTGTGCACAAAACCAAAAGAAAAAATTGTGGCTGGGAGTTAGAGGACAGTAACAAAAGATGAGGCAGGACGGTGGGTGACCAGGGCCAGACATGTGCATAATTCGCTAAAGGAGTTTGGATTTTATTTTACTGACAAAGTGTTGCAAGAAAGCACCTGATTTTCTTTCCCTCTCTGGAGGGGCTGTGCTTTGGAATTGTTCATCCAGTGAAGATACAGGTGCTGGGGGCTTGGTCTCCAAGGTAACAATAGTGAGAGGTGATGGGTCTTTAACAGTTGGGGTTTATTGTAGGTAATTAGCTCTTGGGGCTCCATCCTCATGAATGGATTTACATGGTCTCTTACAGGAGAAGACCAGTCTCCTAGAAGTGGACCGGCTTCTGAAAGAGCAGGTTAGGAATGAGAAATCCTGAGTGTGTGTCTCGGGACCTGTGACCTGGCACTCAGCGGGGCTAAGGCAGAAGGATCAACAGTTTGGGGCCAGCCTGGGCTGTATATTTGGACCATCTCATAAAACCAATGAGAGAGAGAGAGAGAAAGAGAGAGAGAGAGAGAGAGAGAGAGAGAGAGACCGGCTTCTGAAAGAGCAGGTTAGGAATGAGAAATCCTGAGTGTGTGTCTCGGGACCTGTGACCTGGCACTCAGCGGGGCTGAGGCAGAAGGATCAACAGTTTGGGGCCAGTCTGGGCTGTATATTTGGATTTGGACCATCTCATAAAACCAATGAGAGAGAGAGAGAGAGAGAGAGAGAGAGAAACCTTCCTCCTTCCCCTACCTCTTCTTGCTTCCTGTCTCATCTTGTGACTTGCATAAGCCCCACCACTGTCATTTCACTGCTGCAAGGTTACCACTAGAGGGTAGCAGACACAGACCCATGGTCTTGAACCCCTAGAAATGCCAGCTAAATAAACCTCTTTTCTTCATGAAATACCCAGCCTCAGATATTTTATCAGGAGTGATGGAGGAAAACATAGAAACAGGGACTCCCTGGATGGGAATTTGAGAGAGAAGAAAACCTGGGACCCAAGAGGGTTACAGGTCACTTGAGTGTCTTTAGTGTCTATGCTGACAGAGGTCCCAGCTGTACCCTGATCACTCTACTTCTGCAGCTTTGTCTCTGAAAGCCTTCCTTTTGGTTATGGCCACACAAATACCAATAAAAGGCACAGACCATGGGCTACAGGGTGACCCTTAAGAATGCTGGGAACAGAGTCATAAAGTATACAGGTGCCTCAACTCTCAAGTGCTGGGATTGTAGACATGTGCCACCATGCCCAGCATCTGTCCCTGTTTCTTATCCTGTTAACACTTATTCTTGGTTGTAGATTTTGGAATTTTCTAAAGATATTATGAAGGAAATTTTTTCTAGGAAAAAAGGCAAAAATTCACCTTTTTAAAATAGGCTCACAGTTTATCATAAGTGACAATATTTTATTTTATTAAAATATTTTATTTATTTTTATTTTATGAATATGAATATGAATATATTCCCTGCATGTTTGTAAGTGCACCCATGTCATGCAATGCCTGAAGAGGGCAGAAGAGGGCGTCAGAGTCCCTGGAACTGGAGTTACAGATAGTTGTTAGCCACTATGTAGGTGCTGGGAACCCAACCTGGGTCCTCTGCAGGAGTGGCCAGTGCTCTTTATCACTGAGCAGTTGTGGTGATGTTGTTATAACTGTATCTACAATGCTGGTTGTATTAAAGTCTAGAATATATAATTATGTACAGCATATAGTCTCTGATAATGGTAACAAGCCTTAGACATCTTGTGTTTACTGGGTTCCTTGACTGCTCAGAGAGCCCATGTTAGTTGATTGACTTATACCATCCCCATTTCTGTTAGCACTCTGATGTCTGCCAGTGACAAATCCCCCTGTTATTTGTTTTTTTCTTCTTAGTTTCTCTTGATTTAATTTTTTTAATATATAAGACCTGTGGTTCCAGAATGAAAGCTATGTAACAAGTTCTGTTAAAAGAAATCTTATTTCTACCTATGAATTGTCTGAGCGTTTATGAATGACTTTTTATTCATTTTTGGTTAATTTTCCAAAGGTTTCTTGGTAGTATAAGCATACATTTAATGCTATCCTTCCAATTTTATTACCCAAAAGACTGTAAATTGTGTATTGCAACTTTCTCTTCTCCCCTAACACTATATTCTCAGGCTACAGCATCACATTTTACAGAGCTCCCTACTTTTTTAGACTTGTATATTTTTGAAAGAATGCATCATAGTTTGTTTCACTGGTCCTCTATAGGATGCACATTGGGTTTGTTTTCCAATCTTTTGCAATTACTAATCATGTGCCAATGAATAATTTTGCACATAGTCATTTGTGTTTTTGCTAAGGAGAGTTAGGAATACTGAGCCAAGAGGTAAGTAAACACATATATAATTTCTAGTAATGTGGCCAAATTTCCCTCCAGGCACCGCACCATTTTGGGCTTCCATCAGCACTGCTTAAGAGAGCCAGTTTCTCCACAGGCCATTAGCATAGTCTGCATTCCAACTTGGGTTTTTGCCAGACTGATAGATGAGAGATTTCTCAGCTCAACTATAATGTGTATTTCTTTTTCTGTGCATAAAGGCCATTTAAATTTCTTTTACTGAATCTCTCTCTCTCTCTCTCTCTCTCTCTCTCTCTCTCTCTCTCCATACACTAACACACAAAATGGCTACTTTTCTATCTGAATCTTTTTCTTTTTAATTCTAATTGCGCTCTAAATGACAGGTGTATTTGTTTACCTTTTTCAGGATGTGAGTTTGCCAGTGTTCCTTCCTCACTTCCACCATTTATTTTGGGTTGCTTGTAGTGTTCTGAGAGACATATACATTTTTTTTAATGCATGTACTCCAATTTATCAGCTTGGATTTCATGGTATCAGGCTGGAAGCAGAAGAGAGTCCTCTAGCCTATGTGTTGCTTATGTATTTTCCAAGCTTTCAGTTTGGTTTTCATTCTTTTTGGCAAACAAGTCCTAATTTTATTATTGAATTTTTACAAATTTCATACAATATATTTTGATCATATTTAGATCTCCTCCCCTATCTGGACCCATCTTACTATCCCCACCCAGTTTCACATACTCTATTACACATACACACACACACACACACACACACACACACACACAAATCTATTCAGACTTGTATTGGAATCACGTTGAGCCTATAGGAGTGTTTAATCCTTCTATTTGGGAATAGTGTATGCCCAAATTCTACCCATTTTCTCTCCCTTTTTTCTTAACCATTGAGCATAGGCATTTGGTTTTGAACATTTACTGAGCTACGTTTTCAAGTTTTGTACACATTTCTAAGCATAATGTATGTTTCATCACAGTAAAGATTTAAAAAATAGTTTACCACAGGTTAAAAGTACTAATATCTAAGAGTAAATACAAAGGTACAAACAATCTCTAGGCTGAGATACCATACAGTTTAAATCATGTTGTCTAATTATCTGTTCCTAATGTTACAGAAGCCATTAATTTCTGTGAGTTGAACTTGTATTGTGTCACCTTCTAACTTTTCTATTTCGCCTCTTATTTTTTTCTGAGAGAATGACCAAATAACTTAGGGCTCTCTGTAGACCACTATGTCCTGGAACTTGCTATGTAGGCCGGGCTGGCCTTGAACTTCTGGTAATCCTGCAGGAATGTTAGATGTCTCTGTTTTGCCCAGCTGGGATTTCCAGTCTTGATTTCTTACTGAGGAGTAACATCCAAAAGGCTGTCTCATAGTTTTCAAAATAGGAAACTGACTAGAGGGGTGGTTTGGTGTTGGAGTGTGGTACCTTGCATCCTCAAGGCCTGGGGTTTCCAGCACTGATGGGAAGAGGGAGAATCCACACTCCTATAAATAGCTCCAATAAACTCACTGGTATGCTCAACTAGATTTGGGTGGAATAATTTCTTTGGTCTGTCTGGTGCCTTATCTGGTATGGATATGTACTTGTTTCTGTCTCCCTAGGGGCCTAACATTCTAAGAAATGCTTGTCATGGTTCATGTAAGTAATACTTGCTATAGTTTTGTGGTTGATAATTTTTTTTAATGATGGGAGTGCGCTCCTATCTCTATCTTGTTACTAGTTTCCCTTCAACTTTTGAGAAATTTTTGTTCATTTTTACTCTTTTTTTTTTGTTTATTTCAAGTGTCTGCAAAGCGTGGGCTAGGGGCTGACTGTGTCCACTGTGTGTATGTGTGAGTGTGTATGAGTGTGTGTGTGTGTATGCACTTAAATTACTTTTAGTGCCTATGATCTCACAATGGTTTCTGAATTTTAAAAAGTGGGGAAAAAAGGAATAACAACATTTTCTGACATATATATGTTAAATAAAATACAAGTTTCAGTGTCCATTCATAACATTTTATTCAAACACAACCACTTTTATGTGCTTACATGTTATCTTTGAAAATTTTTTTGACAGAGGCTGTGGAGTCTAAAATATTTACTTTCAATACTTACAGAGAAAGGTAATTTTTCTTAGAACATGGCAATCACATGCCTATTCCCTTTAACCCTGTCAGTTGGTTCAGCCTCAAGTAACAGAAATCATGACCCAAACTTGCCTAAAGAATAAAGATACTTATCACCACACAGACAAACTGAGGGTGGTCTAGGATTGTCCTCACATCTAATTTTCTTGACTTTGTGTTCCATGTCTGCTATCTTTCCCACCAAGATTTTTAAAATTGAGGCAGGATCTCATGTAGTCCAGACTGGCTTTCAGCTTACTGTGTAAGGATGACCTTGAGTGTCTGATCCTCCTGCCTCTACCTCTGGGGGCTAGAACTCTAGGCATGTGCCATAGTGCCTTGTTTATGTGGTGCTGAGGATCAAACCTAGGGCTATGTGCATCCTAAGCAAGTACCCTACCAACTGAGAGGCATCTCTAGCCAAGGCAGAGTCTTTGAAATTTGATTTTCTTAGACCCTAAAATGAATCAATGAACATACGGAATTACTGGAGGACATTGGGTCCTGGTGATTTTGCTTTAGCAAATGTAGTTTAAAAACATGTTAATCTGCTTTCCAATCACCTCATCAGGTGGGTGGAGAAAGTTGGTGTTACATGCAATGGTCATGTCCCAGGCATCAATGATGCCTACATTGAGGTCTTTGAAAATGTACTTCACAGTAAGATACTGAATGTAACCATGGAAGTCTCCAAACTTCTCTGTGTCTAGGTACATCTCCCTAACATTTTCTGTTTTAATGACGACTTTAGTGTTAGGGCTTCTTAGGAAGAGTCGCTCAATAGCCTTTCGGATGCTGATGGCTCTGCGAATGAAAACGCCCATAGGAAAGGGTCTGAAGTGCTGGCCAAAGGTAATGACTATGGCTGTGTCTTTGTCGCCTGGTAACCGGTCAATTTCCTGAGGGATATAACCGTCATCTATCACAGAGTAGAGCTGAACAGTGATAAAAGGATGGCTATGTTTTTTCCATTCAATCCGAGTGTGCCTTTCAGCATCCAAAAGCAAATGTTTCTTATAAGGTCCAGTTCCATGAAGATCAAAAAATTTTAATGCTGATAAAAAAGAAAAACATCTTTAAGCAGAAGATAATGATGAAAATATTTTAAAAGAATATCCTACCATTTACAATACTCATTTTTGCCAAGAGCATCTTGTGGTTTGAGCATCCGCTCAAAGGTGTGAAATGCCAATCAAAATATAAAGTTTTCTTTAAGATTCTTTTTTGAGACAGGGTCTTACTGTGTATCTCTGGAAGGCCTGATACTCTCTATGAGGCCAGACTGACCTCCAACTCACAGAGATCCATCTCCCACTGCATCTTGAGTACTGGAATTAAAGGCATGTGTTACCATGCCTGACTTCATTAATATTTTTAAAGAAAAACAATAGACATTAAAATATATTTGGGAGTGCTGGAGAGATGAGATGTCTCAGTGGTTAAGAGCACTGGCTGCTCTTGCAGAGGACCTGGGTTCAGTTCCCAGCACCCACATGGTGGTTAACAACTGTCAGTAACTCTAGTTCCAGAGGATCCGACACCCTCTTCTGACCTCCATGGGTGTTGTACGACATGGGTGCACTTATATACATGCAGGCAATATACTCATACACATAAAATAAAAAATAATAAAAGCATCCCTAGCAAAAGAAGAGAACACACCCAAAGCACTTTAAGATCAGTTTGAATTTCTGAAAGAATATTGAAAAATCACATACTTTTTGTGACTCGAGGAAGGTAGGCGATCCACTGGCGCAGTGTAGAATCTCCCAGCAGGTAAATGAGCTTGCCTTTCAAACAGTCATTTATCTTACTTGAATCTAACTGAATCTGACTGCAAGGGGCCGTCATCCATTTTCCTTGTAGTGTATAACCACCAGGGACCGGAGTCTCCATTCCAATCTGACATCTCTCTCCTGTATTTTCACTCTCTGGTAACAGATACTTGTGGTAAGTGGTTTCAGCAGTCCAAGTTAAGTGCCCAGCCTCCTTCCTTGCCCTTTTCTTTTGTTTTTAAAATTAATTTATTTTTATTTTATGTGAGTGTTTTGCCTCCATGTATGTAAGTACGCCTGAGCATGTAATGCCTGTGGATGCTGGGAACCCAACCTGAGTCCTCTGCGAGAGCAGCCAGTGCTCTTAACCACTGAGCCATCTCTCCATCTCCAAGTTCTCCCCTTTCCTGACCTTTTTCTCTTTTCCTCCAACTCCTGTTTCTTCTGACTTTTCCTAGTGCTTTGCTTTTGATCACCAGCTGTGTTTTAGGCACCTCTACTTACTCTTCTTTTTATGATTAAAACACTAAAAGTTACTTATTTAGTCGGCCATGGTGGCACACGCCTTTAATCCCAGCACTTGGGAGGCAGAGGCAGGTGGATCTCTGTGAGTTTAAGGCCAGCCTGGTCTACATAGTTCCAGGTCAGCTGGGGATACAGGGAGACCCTGTCTCAAGAAAAGACCAAAAATAATTTTTTTTAACTTATCCTATAAACAAGTACTGGAAGAAAACTCTAATATGAAAAATTAGTTTGATTCCCTGTACATTCTTTTGAGAGATTCTGAGTCATCTTGACTCCTTGTTCATTTTCTCTCAAATCTGGTCATTAGCTGTGAGTGACGGCCTTTCTTTCCCATTCCTCTTGGTTCTGTGATGACTTGTCTTTTCTCTAAATCTGAGTAATGTTATGGGCTGCAGGTTGGTGTCCTCGTTGTCAAATCCCTTACTTCTGTTTCATCAGTGAACGAAAAATCTTAATTTTTCCATGTTCAAAAGGTTTGATAGGGGCTGGAGAGATGGCTCAGTGGTAAGAGCACAGGCTGCTCTTGCAGACAGAGGAGCCAGGTTTGAATGCCAGCACCCATATGGCAGCTAACCATTGTGCTAACTTCAGTTCCGGGGAATTCAACACCCTCTTCTGTCCTCCATGGGCACTGCATGACGTAAGTGCAGTTGTATACATGCAGGCAATACATTCATACACATAAAATAAAGTAATATTTTAAAAGGCTTAATATATAGTACAGGTACATTTAAAAACGTTAGGATGCAATGCCCAGCATGACAATATTTTATTAGGACTTTAATGAAAATGACATGCAGTGCTGACATACACCAATATTCTGAGCTGCTCTGTCAAGCTCCATGGGTATTACGGCTCTGTTGTGGTCTAGCTTCCTTAGTGTCCCTGTGACAGGCCACCAGTGTTTTATCATGCACAGTGCAGGCTGCTCACACTGTGCTTCTCTGCCACTCTGTCCATGCTGGTAAACCACACCAAGCCAATGCCTCACATTATAGTTTTGATTTTTTTCTTTTGATGCTGGGAATGGAACCCAGGGCATCGTGCATGATAGTCAGACCCTCCACCTGAGGTCCATCCTTAGTTCTTCATTTAGGTTTTGTTACCTCAGCATCTCTGTGCTAATGCCACTTCTTGCATTAGATAGGAATGCCATGAGAAAGGTCAACAGCCTGATTTAAAAATAGAAATTATTTTCTCCTCACATAGCAGTTCCAGAGTGGGCAGGCCTGGGCTAACATGCTGATTGCTGTCAGGGGTTCCAGTCTGTGCTCTGTTTAACGGGCTTTCTTTGCTCACGTTTTATCTGTGGTTCAGCAAGTAGTAAGGAGAGAAACAGCAGAGCAAGGCAGGTTGTTCTGCTTGTGAAGACAGGACCTAGAATTTTCCATGTTGATTCTAGTTACACTCCCAGAAGACGTTCAGTCATGGCCATTGGAAAAGATGACTTTGAGTCTGGCTAGAATAATGGTTTGGGTTACTAAAGGGAGAGAAGGCAGTGGATATGGGAATTGCCTGCTTTACTCTATTCAGTCCTTCAAAGACCTGACTACATCCTCATATATTATTACAGGGTTGTACTGTATGGTCATCCTTCTGTGGCATTAAAAATTACATTTATTTATTTTGTGTGTGTGTGTGTGTGTGTGCCATAGCATGTGTGTATAGATGAGAGGAAAACTTTCAGGAATCAGTTCTCTTTCCAAGCTATGGGGCCTGGAGTGCAAACTCAGGCAGTCAGGCTTGATGGCAAGTCTGGTCAGCCCTCTATATCCATGGGTTCAAACAGTCCCACATGGAAAATAATTGGAAAATTCATTTGTATTGAATGTGTGCATACTTTTAATATTATTATCATTCCCTAAACAATATAGCACAACAACCATTTACATAGTGTTTAGTACATTAGGTGTTAAAAATAATTTAGAGTAATTTAATGTCCATCAGAAGATGTGCATAGGTTATCTGCAAAGACTAGGCCATTTTATGTGAGGAATTTGAGCATCTCTACATTTGGGTACCCATTTGGGTCCTGAAACCCATGCCCCAGGGATAGCTGTTACTTATAACCGTGCACAAAGTGGCAAAATGCTTCTGGAGGCAGAATTGAAAATGTACCTAGAATAAGCTCTTAAATCCTGGTGATTTAGCTGCCAGGTGGAATCGTCCATAATCTTATAATTGTGTTGGAATTTTGAGCTGACACAGTTGGACTCCTGAGGGCTTGACAGCATTACCTCCTGAACCACTGAATGCTATAGCTGAAGGAACTTCAGTGCCTTAGCCACTAAATACTCCACATTTAGTAATGTAGTGAAAGGTAACCTTTGTGCTTACTGCAAAGCTTATCTTGTGTAAACTGAGGTGCCAGGGACTTCATTTTCTTATAGCAACTCTTACATTTTTATTTCTCTATTAGTTTTTTTGAACAATACATGCATAGGATTCTATCACTTTTTGATTAGCTTAAATAGTATGGCAGGCCTATTGGCTACCACAAGATACTGTCCCTGAGGATATCTAGATCATAATTCTCAAGCCTGTGATAATTCTGTGGCAAAAGGAATTTCCTGATGTATCTGAGAGTATGGGCGTACCATGGGGAGATCATTTTATATTACCGTGAAAGGGACTTAACCTAATCTCATGTGTCTTCCAATGTGGAAGAAGGAGGCAGTAAGGTGGATTAGAAAGCTATAGCATGAGGATTTGATTCTGTTGTAGCTCTGGAGATTGAGAGTGGGGACTGCAAGCAATGTGGGAAGCTTCTAGAAGCTAATGAACATCTTTTCAATATGAAGTCCTTCTATTCAGAAGCAGGGTATTTTCCTCTATTTACATAACAGAGATTCACCTGCCTCTGCCTCTCCAGTGCTGGGATTAAAGGAGCATGCCACCACACCTGGTCTGTGAATTTACTCTTTAAATACAAACTGGATCTTTCCACTTTCTTCTTCAATTTACCCCCAGTAGCTTTTTAAACTCTACCAAATGAATACTGAATCCTGATCGAGATACTTAAGAGCTGTGGTGATTTGGACTCTTGCTTTTTTTAGTCTCATTCCTTGTTACATTCTATGGTTTGCCATTGGCCTATCAATTATGGTTTATGATAATTTTGCTCATTCACAAAAGTTATCAGATGAAATTGAAGGATGGCACACTAAATCCAAATTGCCTTGGCAAGAAACACTTTTTTAGTGCATATGTCATGGGTATCTCTCCTTTATGAATATGTACTTATAGAGACAATTAGAGTTGATTCAACTTTTATTGACTTCTGGTGTGATTACTTACTGGGCAACTCTACCCATGATCTTTACAAGACTTCTGTTTTTGCTCATTCCCCAACTGAACACATCCTCCTGGGATTAGTTAAATATTAACTGGAATGTGAGCCCTCTACACTTGGCATTCTTCAGATTTGGTAGATTCAATGGTGTTTAGACATAAGCTGAGCTATGTCTAAGGAGTTATTTTTCTCCATTTCCCACAATGCCTCATATCTATCAGACCCTCAATAAACATTGATTGAATAAATGAATGAATATTAGCAATAAGTCCTTCTGAGTTTGAGAAATTTACTAATGTTACTGATAAGCTAAGGTAGGCTTTATAGAAAGTTACTTTAGCATTCAAGCAGTATAAATTTTTTTTGTACGTAACATTGCTTTGTGTTTCCAGTAGAATATTTAGTAAGATGAAAACACCATGTAAAATTAGTAAGGGCAACAACTAAAAGTTACAGGTTTTGCTAACAGAGAATTAGAAAACCAAAACCACAACATTAAAACCATTGGTGTCCATCAAACACATTTGCGCAGTACCTCAGACTCAAGGATATGCATTTCCAGGTGAAAATATGCATGGAAGATCTTAATAGTTTCTCCTCTGGGATAAGTCAAGATGAAATCTGTTATTCAAAGAATATGGAACAGGGCTGGAAAAATGGCTGAGTGGTTTAAGAGTGCTTGCTGCTTTTGAAGAAGTCCTGGGTTTAGTTCCCAGTACCCACATCACAACTGCCTCTAACTCCAGTTTCAGAGAATGTAATGCCCTCTTATGTCTTCTATGGGCATCTTACAAACATGGTGTGCCTAACTCAGGCAGGTACATACACAAATAAAAGTAAAGTAAAATTGTGTTTTTATTTTATGTGTATGAGTGTATTGCCTGCATGTATGTAAGTGCACTCACATCATGCAATGCCCATGGAGGTCAGAAGAGGGTATTGGATCCCTTGGAACAATTTTTCACCACCTTGTGGTTGTTGGGAATGGAACCCAGGTCCCCTGCAAGAGCAGCCAGTGCTCTTAACTGCTGAGCTATCTCTCCATTACCAAGAAAGAAATCTTTTAAAAAAAAAGAGTTTGGGGGGTGGGGGGCTGGAGAGATGGCTCAGTTGTTAAGAACACTGGTTGTTCTTGCAGAAGACCTGGTTTCAAACCCCATTACCCACAAGGCAGCTAACAACTGCCCGTGACTCCAGTCTCAGGGGATCTGACAGCCTCTTCTGACCTCTGCGGGCATTGCACATCACGGGTGCACTTACCTACATGCAGGAAATACATACATACACATTAAAAAAAAAGAGTGTGGGGGCTGGAGAGATGGCTCAGTGGTTAAGAGCACTGGCTGCTCTTCCAGAGAACCCAGGTTCGATTCCCAGTACCCACATGGCGGCTAACAACTGTCTGTAACTGCAGTTCCAGGGGACCCAATGCCCTCTTCTGGTCTCTGCTGACTTTGCACAACATGGGGGCACTTACTAACATGCAGGCAAAACCCTCATACATATAAAATAAATAAAAATGTTTTTAAAAATTTGAAATAATTTCTTTGAATTGATTTTTCTACTATCTGTCATGTTTGGCTTCACAGGTACTTACTAGGAATTATGCTCCAGAAAACTACAAGTAGTATAATTAACACTGAAAAAACCTTCCTCTGCAAGAGACATACAAAGAAGCACCTGCTGCAGGAGGGAAGACTTACTGTTGCATCGGGAGACATCAATGTGTTTAGGGTCTTTCATCATTTCAATTCCTATTTTGGACCTTCAGAAAAATAAGACAATAAATTAGCCTGTTATCTGTCCACATAATACAGGCAACATGAATCACCTGCTTATAAAGGAAGGAAGGATATGTTTTAAATTTCTATTAATGTAACTAGAAACTATTATTTTTGCTGTGTGATTTTAGGTACCTAGGGTATTATAAATGAAGTAGGATTCTGGAAGATGTTCTAGCCCACTGAGAGTGCTGAAGTCCAGGGCATCTGTATTCATCTGCCACATGCATTCAGAGGGTCCTGAAGTTTTAGATTTTAAATTAACTTTCAAATCTGTAGCTTTCAATATCTGCTTCCGTATCACCTATTTAAGTTCATACAGTTTTGTCCAAAGGCAATGAGCCTTTGTGCCTCGGTTTTATCATACCTAAATTCTTCAATACACCTGCCACAGCATCCTCTGCCACTGTAAATGCTAACAACTTATCATTTAAAGTCAATCATCACCTGCCATCACTTACCAGAGGAGTCCCGACTCCTTACCATGACACTCAGGCCTCTCACCACAGGGCCTCTGCTTCTTTGCTTAGTTATAGATCTTGCTATGTTCACCTTCCTATTTTTTTTTTTTTAAAGAATGACCCCTTTATTTGTTCCTCTTCCCAACATCATTAACTCTGCTTTTCACCAATATGCTTCTTTTTTTTGGGGGGGGGTCCTTTTTTTTAACCTTAAGAATTGTTTTATGATGAGTTTCAGGTTTACAAAGGAAATCAATCCATTTTCAGATCACAGCTATATCCATAACTTCTATTACAATGGTTCAGTTTGATGCATGAATTAATACATGCTGCATTTCTTTCCTCCAATGATGAAAAGCTACCAGACTATTCCTGCTTCAGCGTTCTTGTCCCTTCCCCTGATTTGATTCTCTCTGTTTCAAACCTGAGAGCATGTGTAAATACAATCAGGCAGTGAAGGGCAGAAGGGGGCTCAGGTACCAGGTACAACAGATGTGTGCCAGGTCCTGTTCTCTGCCACGGCTGTCTTTTAAGGTCCAATCCCTGAAGCAAAAAGGTGACCTGTTTTCATTCTTACTGGGATGTAGACTTAAGGATGGCTAGTGAGTAGGAAGAGATTTGGTGAGTTGTACCATCAGAGATAAAAGGGAAGGAACAGGGGCTGGAGAGATGGCTCAGCGGTTAAGAACACTGGCTGCTTTTGCAGAGGACCTGGGTTTGATTCTCAGCACCCACATGGTGGCTAATAACATTTTTTAACTCCAGTTCCAGGGGATCCGACGTCCTCTTCTGACCTCCGAGGGCATTGCATGATACAGGTGCACTTACCTACATGCAGGCAATACACTCATACACAAAAAATAAAAATAATAAATAAAATATTTTTTTTTTAAACTGGAAGGAACAGAAACCCGCTTTTGCTTACTCAGAGGTTAGAGACTATCAGGAGCTAGAACTTGGCTAATGAGGTAAGATTCTGTAATGCATGTTATTTTTCCATATTTGGTGTTTACTTACTTTCACTAAGTATCTGTTTCAGAAAGTGTTAAGGTTCAGACAGCCCTGTCCCCTCACCAACAGGATCCCAAGGACTTCTCATGCTCCTGAGAAAAGGGAACCTAGCTGATAAGCACCTTGGTCTTTGAAGTCAAGAGAAGCAGACTTCTCTTCACTGTTTGGCCAACACAGCAGGCTTCCCCTTTGATCTCTAAAGAGGACAGGTTTTAACAGTCCCACTCTCCCACTCCCCGCCCCTCACGCAACTTTAAAAAGTACATCTTCCCTTTGTCTTCTGCAGGAGGCAGAAGACTCCCTTTTAAAAGACCCCAGCTCAAGACCCAGGCAGACATTTTCCCTGCCTGGAAGGGAATCTGTCCCATGTGTTCCTTTGCTAATAAACCCTATTTTGATGGAGTTTTAGCTGTGCCTTGGTGCCTCATCATCCATTCGTTCATTCTCTGCCAACTATTTACCTATCAGAAAGCTTAAGGGGAAAAGACTCTAAACTTGACTTTGAAAACTGTTAAGAAAGGGACTGTGGAGAATCTAGCATTCCACTTTGTTACTAAGTTTAGGGAAAAGAAAGCCCCATGAGTGTGTGGAGGCAGGGTGTGGATTTTGGCAGAATGGAAATGGAAAAGGATTCCAACGGACTGGGTTTCTCAGGGCTTGGTTCACATCTCCAAGGGACAGTTGGCTTTACAAAGTGACTGATGAAGAGGCCCTGGTGTTCATCCTAAGCAATGAGACATTTTCCAATTCTGCGGAGAACAATGAGACCAGGAAGTGAGCATCTGTTTGTAAGCAGGGGAGGGAGATATGGCATGGTCACAGCTGTGACAGATAGGGGTAGGTTTGAGGAGGGCCTCTCAGATGGGGGCTTCCAGGAATTGCTAGGCTACAGCTGGGGGAAGATGAAGGATTCTTCTACCCAAAGAAGTGTATATCAGCTGTATCTGACCCATAGGAGTTGGCTTTTTAGGATTGTTCAGGCTGCAGTGTGGAGCGCCAAGCAGAGCTTTGTAGCTCTGAACCCAATACCTGATCTAGAACAGGCTTTTGCTACATGCTTGCTGAATATGAATAAATGAGTGGCACCTGCTAGGAAAAGAGAGGGAGGAAAGGAGAAAGAGAGGGAAGGAAGAAGGGAGGGAGGGAAAGAGAGAGGGAGAGAGGGAGAAGGGGGAGAGAGAGAGTGAGAGAGAGAGCGAATAGGAGTTAGAGGAGAGTATGAGGGGCAACACTGGGCAACATGGAGTCCCATTGGGTAGCTGTCACTGCACTCTAGAGGAGAGCTGTCTAGATGGTCATCTGAACTTGCACAGAAGCAAAAGGCATGAAGAGAAATGGATGTGCAAAAGATTTTAAGGGGCAGAGTCTATGCCGTAAGATAGGGGAAATGCAGGATCAGGATTCTATCATGTACATATGGAGGAATCTTTTCTGGGGGAAGAGGGAGGTGGAACATCTGTGACTCATAGCAAAATAGCTTCATACAGAAGACATTTGACAAACCTAGGTCTACAGTAAAATATACAACTGAATGTAACATTCTGTTTGTCATATACTTTCCTGAGTTACACCTTGGCCAGCCCTTTTATTGAATGTGTCAATGAAAGTGCAAACTGTGGTATCAGTAGGGGACAACATAGGTCTTACCAGAATCTTGAGTAGAGGAGACATCTGAGGATCTTGTTTAATATTGAGATGGCAGTGTGGCTCTGCCTGGGGGAACCCCTCATTGCACTGAAAAAAACATACTCACTTCTGGAAAAGGCTTTTTTCTTTCGTAGTGAGATAAGAAACTGCTTCCTGCCTGGTACACACATGGGTTAGGGCCTCACAGGGCATGTGTTGAGGCTTTATGCAGTAGAAGACTTCTTCCCCATTGCGGTATAAGTATTTGCAGAGTTCAGCGCTTGAGTTTAGGGTCAGGCCACATTCAGCCAAGACTTGGGAGGTGCCATTAACAAATTTACCTTTGAAAGTAATTTTACCATAGCCTTGGTTCCTCGCCCTCCAGAGAGCTGACGCCCCTTCACTGGGGTGGATGAGGAGGATGGACAGGGAGACTGGACCCTCCCAGAACAGAGTGAAGCTGACCAGGTAGGTGCCGTTGTTGAAGTCTGTCACCTTTCCAGTAGCACCTGCCTTCAGGGCTGGGGTGAACATCCTGGCCCTCAGGAAATCCCCACCGTACTCCTTCCTGCGTCCCAGGTAGTCCCTGGCCTCCAGGAGGAAGTCCAGCTGGTCCCCCCTGCAGTATGTGTGTTGAGGGTTGAGGACGGTGGCCGTGCTGTGCTTGGCACTGGTGGTGCTGTTGAGGTGGGTGAAGGGTCTGGGTGGGATCTGCCGGTCCAGCTTCTCCAGGATCTCCCTGACTCTCAGCTCTGTCTCTGTTGGTGACTTGATCAGGCTCATTGTTTTAGGGGTCTCCCCTATTCTTAGCTCATCCTCTGTTGGTAACTTTGACAGATTCATTGGAGCCTGAGGGCATGAGGACTTCATGAAGGTGTTCCAGGGATGGAGGGCGATGGATATGTCTAGAGCAGTCCAAAGCTGAAATGACAAAAAAATGTAATGCAGTATGAAGCGAATCTCCTTCCAAATATTTTTAAGTTAATTTCTATTTATTTTTCTTTTATGTGTATGAGTGTATTGCCTGCATGTGTATAACTGAACCTGGGCCCTACAATGCTGGCAGAGGGCGGATTCCCCTGGAACTAGAGCTACAGTGGTTGTTAGCCACCATGTGGATGCTGGGAACCAAACCTGGGTCCTCTGCAAGAACATCTAGGGCTTTTAACTGCCGAGCCATCTCTCCAGACTCCAAATCTCCCAGTTATTTTTTTACTTATGGTGGTTTGAATAAGGAATATCCCTCATCGGCTCATGTCTTTGAACACTTGGTTGCAAGTTGGTGGTGCTGTTTGGCGAGGTCATGGAATCTTGAGGAAGTGGAGCCTTGGTGGAGGAGTTAAATCATTGGGGCCAGTTTTGAAGGTTTGTAACCTCACCCCACTTTCTGTTCTCTCTCTCTGTGCTTCCTGTCTGCAGCTGAAATGTGATCTCTCTGCTTCCTGGTCCTGCTGTCACGCCAGGCCTTCCCTACCATGACTGACTCTGTCCCTCTGGAACTATAATCCGGAATAAGCTCTTTCTTCCTTAAGTTTCATTTGGTCATTGTATGTCATGACAACAAGAGAAAGTAACTAACACAATGAGTTTTTGGATAAATATATTTATTCTAAAATAGGAGCCCTGAGAATAATAAGTTGACACAGTGGTTTTGTCCTTTTGTTTTCATAGATACCTTGACACCAATAACTATTTTTGTTAGTGTCCATCACAATAGATGGCTGCGTGTTTCTGCCGATTAATACAATTATTACTAACTGTACAATGAGGAAGAATATCCAGCTGGTTTTATGAGATATTTTATCCTAAACTTTGATTAGCACAATACAGGAAAAGTAAAGGCCTTTTCAGTTATGAACTGAAGGCTCGGGAGAGCACGCAGAAGCAGGGGTTGTTGAAGAGAAGTTGGTCCTGGAAGGAGGAGCCAGCCAGCAGTTTTGCTGCTCCAGGCACATTAGCTGAGAGCACTCACAGAAAAGTATGGAGTACCTAAATCCACAATGAAACCAACACTAGGTTCCACCTTGGCATCCATAGACCCTGGAAGGAAGAGATAATCTCAGACCTAAGAGCTTTGTTTGACTTTCTAGCTGATGTGTAGAACAGACACAAAGCAGTCTGCAGCTAAAGCCAGATTACAACTGAGATGTGAATTACTTGTAACCCCAAGTAGATTAATTTGTAATTTAAGTGAATCGCTTGCCACATCAAAAATGTCAAGGAGATTCTGAAAGATAGAATCTGAATCCCCATTTTCAACAAGCCAGTAGTTGCTGTGTCAAGGATACGATTAGAAATTACTCTGCTGTGGGTGGCAGCGCACATCTGTAACCTGTAACCCTGCACTCTGGAATTTGAGGCAGGAGGATCAGGAGGTTGAGGCCAGCCTGAGCTACACAGGGAGAGCCTGTCTCAATGAAAGAGTGAAACACAGAAGGAAGGAAGGAAGAGAAAGGGAAACACAGGAAGGAAAGACGAAAGAAAAAGGAAAGACTTGCACACCTTAATAGGAAAATGAACTCTTGAAGGAGATAACAGAAACAGCCACTGAGTGATCATACAAGCATTTACAACATGTATTATCATAACGATGCTCAACCAGGTAGTGGGAAATATGGTGAAATTAATGGGACAACAAGAACAGTAAAGATGGATAAAAGTAAAGAACTAAACAAATTTTACAACAAAAGAATAACAATATCTGAAAAATGCAATGCACAGTTCACTGTCTGAACTGTCTCCCTGTTTCTTAGTGTCTGCGTTTCTCTAAAAAAATCACAGACGAGATCTAATGAATATTCAGGGATTATTATGCTGGTAACCTTCCTAAGGAATTTTTTAAACAGAACGAATTCAAATACACAAAATGTTTGGAAATTGATATAAAGGTTGTGGAGAGAGATTTGCTCACAGAAATAGAATATTCTCGCACTGTGGAGAATGCGGTGCCATAGCTTGTGTTGTGACAGCACAGACACAACGACAAACCTGACTGGACAGTGGAAAGATGAAGAGCAGAACTACCTTGTGGACCGCCTTGTTGATGTGGACTGGAGTGAAAAGACACAGCTTCAACCCACAGCACCAACTCAAGTAGAAAACACTCAACAGAAGCTCTCCGGATGCTTTCTACCCATAATTGCATATTTCATCTCAAAGATTATCATCTTACTAAACAGGAATTCTAGAGGCTTTGCTGCCCAAATCAAGAAGAAGACAAGGATACCCACTGCTCTGTTACCATCTAACCTTGGGGTGCAGTCAGATAAGAAAAAACAAATGAAGACACTAGCATTGGAAAGAAGATTTAAAATAATTATCTTTATACTTCGGTGGCTATTTATTTAAAAAATCCTAGAGTGTCAACAGAATAATAACTACAAATCATAATGAGATTTAGCAAAGTAGCAGGTAGTAAAATTAATGTATCTAGAGACTAAACTCAGAGAGAAGGCAAGATGAAACAGAAGGTCTGACATGGCAGAAAAATGACAGCCGAATACTTAGTATGTGTTTAACAAGTGTCCGATATCTACATGAGGAGAACCCATAAAGCATTATGACAAAATGGAACAGAGGAAGGGAAATCGTGTTCACGGACAGAACTTACACATGTGTATTCGTTGCTTGTCTTGCTCCTGGACAAAATAAAGCAGCTTAAAGAAGGAAAGGGTCACCTGCGCTCACAGTTCAAGATCACAGCCCCCCATGGCAGGGGAGTCACCGCATCAGGAACCTGAGGCAGCTGGTCACATGTGTCCATGGTCAGGAAGCAGAGGCAAAGGAACTAAAGGCTGTGCTCAGCTTGCTTCTTCATTTTCATGCAGTCCCAGACCCCAGTGGGTGGGATGATGCCACCCACATTTAGGGCGGGTCTTCCTAACTCGGTTAACTTAATCTAGAAAACCCTTCCAGACATACCCAGAGGCTACCCAATCTAGATAACCCCCCACAGGCATGCCTATAGGTTTGTCTCCTCTGGTTCTTGATCCTACCTAGTTGATAATCAAAATTCAGAATCACAACATTTAATGAAATCATAGGAAAAAAATCATCAGGATTATTTGGACAAGACAGATCAAATGGAAAGTTTACTTAAAAGGATAAATAATACTAACCAGAAAACATGTGGGGGAATCAAATGCAGAGGCTGTAGGTATG